AGGGAAAGACACGTTGAAAAGACAGACTGAAATCTGGGGTGCAAACCTGAGCTGTGTCCAATAAAAACAACGTTCAGTCACTCTGCACAAACAGTTGCTCTACTACAGAGTTAAGAGTAATACATTTGCCACTGTGGTTTCACATTTTTGTAATGAAATATCCAAAGACTATAGTACGTATGCCATGTCGGTGTTTTGGCCCAGAACTTTACAAAAAAATTGAAACCTAGAAAAATATACAGCATTTTGGCACGTTGTAAATTAAAAATAACTGTTTATGCCGAGAAACTTTGTATGTAAAGAATGCAAACTCCACTTGGCCATTTCTATGCCACACATCACAATTTAAAACGACTTAATATATCCTAGAAAATGAAAGATTATAAATGCATTGTAAAAAAACATGGGACAGTAGTACTAAGCACGCTTTGAAAAAGAATGAAAAGTAGCTACTACATATGTAGGCTGCTTAGCTATTTTTCAAACATAAATATCTCCACCATTTCAAAATATTTACTTTCCAGAAGGCACCAATCCATATTAAACTACCTATAAATTCAGATGACTAAAATTAAGCATGGTTTTTCTGTGAGGGCTCAGGAAAAAAAGCACATAAAGGCATAACATAAAAAAAAATATTCTGACAACTTGAAAATTACTTATCAATTTACATATTTTTCATATAACAATTCACATCTGGTCTGGCAACCTGTTTGCCCAGTTTCAGTCCAATGGGAGTTGAAAAGGCCAAGGTATTTGCTCTGAAGGCTGAAGTTATAGATGCAAAGCAAAAATACTACGCAATAATATTAGGTAATAAGGCTTTCTGAATAGTAAAACTATTGTTTAAAAAATGAGCTCGTGAAGAAGCTAAATAGCTGTTTTCACACACTAATGTGGCTATCATTTCAATACCTGCTCTCGCAAAATACTGAAAGGCATCGTTTGCATCAAATGGGCCCCTGAAAGCAAAGTGTGCCATATTAAAAATGTTTTTCCTGGAGTTTGACAAAAGAGCATCTGATACTATTAAAAAATATTTTAATGCTCTGTAACTTAAAACAGAATGGCTTATTTGCACTACTTTTTGTTTAAAAATATACATCTGGGCTGATAATTTATATACCAAGTTTCAGCTTGAAGCTATTTAAAACAGCTGAGTTATAAACTCTGAAAACTGGGGCTTGGAGTGGAAATGTTGACAGCCCCTTAACTACTTGGTGCTACTGGGTATAGCGTTAATACTGTACATTGATTCTTTGCTGCTATCATACATTGACTAAGATTTTGTGCTATTATCAGCATCAGGCAGGGCCAACAAAGGAAATGCAAGCCTGGTGCAAGAACCCTATGTAAGAAGCTCCAGAAAGACATGTCAATAGGGGGCCAAATGCTGGGTGTTGTACTCAAATAAGTAGCACTGCTGTCTACCGTAAAACTCTGAATATGAATAAGGTGAACATAGTTTGGACCCAGGCCCACGGGCTCCATTTCCTTTATATCTTAGCTACCTGAACATGATTAAGCAGTTATGCTTAAAGCTATGTTAATAAGTGTGTTGTTAACATTCTTCACTATAAAAAATGATATGCACAAATTTAATCTTACTACTGAGAACATTCAACAAGAACTCCCTCATCAGCTCACATAAATATTAATGCTTAAATTCAAGTGCAATACTTAGCCAACATGATTTTTTAAAATTATAATCAAAACCAGCACAGTTTACAACATACTTCCTTTCCTACATGTGATTTATATCTGTTTTTTAAATTAAAACAGTGGTATGTCCAAAGCACTTTTTAACCAGAGATCCCTGTAAGAGAATTATGATATACTTAGCACACCATTCAAAATATTATCATCAACATATTATTTATTGCCAATAAAACTTCAGTTCCACTTTTCATAATGCGTGCTTCATGCGAACCGTTTTACTATTGAGTTACTGGACAGCCCAGATGGTCTTTCTTTTTTAAAGATAATTGCTTTTGTTCTCCGTTAAGTTCCAGTGAAAAGTTTTTTATAGGCTATCTAGACCTGTATTATTTTAGTTTGAAACTACTGTAATGAAACAGAATTTCACCTCAATGACAACGAATATATATATTTTTTTTTATTGGCTCAAGATCTTTTTCACCAAACGCAAAATAGGAACTTCCAACATCATTTCATAGCAAATCAAGGTCAGGTACACTGGCTATTCATGTGAGAGAATACGTGCACAGATATTACGCATGTAAAATACAGATGCATGGAAATGTAGACACGCTGGACAGCCACGATGGGCAGGAGACTAAGGCCAGTTCAGCATACCTGCTGCCTCAAGAAGCCCAGACAATCCCAGTCCTTTTGGACAGTGTAATCACATAGCATCTCACACTGAATCAAGTGTTTAGCTAGCATGGGCATAAAGAAAGTGCGGCTGGGAAGCCCACAAAAGACATCTCTTGCCTTTGGTGAGGTTTAACTATGGTGTCTGCACCCAAGCTTTGCAGCCAGCATTTCCTAGGGGTTGGTCCACACTTCCAGCAGGGTGAGAGCAGCCTGAGAAAGGGACCTTCTCTGGCTGACAGGTCCAAGGAGCACCAGCCGCCAAGGGTGACGGGTCCCCTCCCACACCTGCACTCCCAGAGGTGCTGGGCTGCACACCTGAGGGCTGTGCACCCTGGAGCGGGAGCTACATCCAGACCAGACCCCCTGCTCTGCCTCCTTTCCCCCTTTCCCCTCCAGTCCTGGAAGAAGAGGGGTGTCCCCTGCTTTGCAAGGTGGGGGGACTCCCTGGCTGCGGCTTTGCCCAACCCGGGGCGGTCCCCACAGCGGTTTTGGGGGCTGCGGGGCAGAGGGCGGGGAGAGCTGCCGGGCAGGTGCCCTGTCCAGCAAGGGGGGGGCCGGGACCCGCGGGGCTTTACCTTGAATGCCACCGGGAGGGTCTTGTTGCAGCGCCAGTGCGAGGGCAGCACGGAGCACAGGAAGTTGGGGCTGTCGGTGCGCACCAGCTCGGCGGGGTGGTCCGCGATGATCTCCACCATGGTGCGGTTGTCGTGCGGGCGCAGCCGGGGCACCGCGGCCGCCGCCTCC